GAGGACCAGAACTAACATCTGCCCAGCACACTTCCCTAACACTCACTGTGTTCTTAACCTATTCCGGCCCCTCTCCCTCATGAAATAAGAACTTTCTGTTCATTCTCTCGTAATTATAGGGGGAAAAGCACAGAATTGAGAAATGGAAGTGTTTGCTATAAAGAGGGGAAGTGAAAGCTGCTATTTTGGGCTAAGGCCTTGGAACCCATGACAAACAGCACGGCCTGTTTTAACCGTTTGTGTGTTGTTTGTCCAGTGTTCATGATTCGTGTGGATGTGGAGGGAAGGAAGACTGTCTGGTGCTCACTGCTCCCAGGGCATCTTTGTCTTCTTTGGGAGGAGAAATTTCACTTAATATTCTTTGGGCTCAGTCTCAGGACCCTCAGAATGGAAGCCAATTTGGAGGCTGAGGTTAAAATCTGGATTTTAATTCAGTCCCTCTTTGTGATATAGAGGTATTGTGGGCAGGTTTGGAGTGGACTGGAATTGTCTGCCGCATGCCAGGGGCGGAGAACAGAATAAAGAGAGGGGGAAGGCAGAAGGGTACTGATTTGGACCTGGAAACTGTACGTGTCCAAATGAGCAGCCCTGCGTTGCCTTCTTACCGTAGAGCAGCCACTGTGCCAGGGGCCTCAGCCCACCCTCATTTCACTCTGGACTTGCACCCAGAGCAACTGATGGCTATGAGCTCCATGTTACAGGTGGTGAAACTGAGGCTCAGTGAAGGTTGGTGCTCTAGGCTGCACACTTAGTGAGTAGAAAAGCTAAGATCTGAATCCAGGTCTCCTGACTCCACGCCCAGTACTCATGCTTGCTGCTGGCTATGGTGGCTATTAAACCCCACTATGGTGGCTGTTAAACCTCACTATGGGGACTGCTCGAACCCCAGCCCAGACTCATTCCTGTAATGCCGTGGTGCTGTGCCTGGGGTGCTGGGGGGTGAGAGGAAGAGCTTCCTGAGTGCTCAGTGCAGATGGGCTGGGAGTGGGGGGTTCAGAGGTCTGTAGTTCATGGGAGGGGACCCTGGTTCTCCACTGAGATTATAAGGAGGGAGAATAAATTTGGCAGAAAATATGGAGGAGGACCTGTGGAACCAAAGGACAAGCAGGGTGAGTCCATGAAAGACACGTCTGGTGCAGGAGCGTGGGATGCCTGGCAGGACTCAGGCCGCAGGCTGGGGGATGGCCATGGCAGTTGTCGGTGCAGGAGCTGAGAATCATCTGGGAGGTGGGAGGTGTTCTCTCCCACCACAGAAACCAGAGAAATCTTATTTTAAAAGCTGAGTTGCCAAGTAAGTGCCCCCATTCTCCATTTGCTTATGATTTAACATCTCAGCAGATGGCTGAGCACCCAGGGGGCACCTGAGGACACTCCCGTTGACATTTAGGAAGCATTCTACTGGGACTCCCTCCTGCACTAGGTTCTTCTACCTTGGAAAATGTTAAATGCCAAGTGTAAGGCAGAGGGTGTCGTTAAAAAGCCAGAAACCCAACTGCTTTGCTCCCCAGATTGCTCTTTGCCCCTTTCGCCATCAAAACGTTTACCTAACAGTTAGAGGTTGTGTGGGTCCCTGACACATGGTCATGTGAGTGGCAGCCTCCCCATGAGTCACTAAAAATGAGCCGGCTAAGTGTTTTGAGCAGGAAGTCGCTAGGGAGGAAGCCTCGTAGGTGGCCAGGGAGATGACTGTAAGTGCATTTGGGGCCTCATTAAACCCAGTGATCCCTCCTTGGTTTGGTGGCGTGGGGTCTTTGGTAGCCCTCACCATTCTTCATAAAAGAACAAAGCTTCAAATATTATCTTTTTTTTTTAAAGGATATATAGTGAAAAATAAGTTCCCCTGTTACAGTTACTTACTGCTGTTGTGTGTTTTTCTTGACATTTTATACATGGTGATAGGAATATACTTGTACATTGTTTAATGGGTTCATGCGCTTAACCGTGGCTCACCTGCGGCCTATATCTTGGCCATATTTCCTTTATCGGTACAATATGATTCACTTGAACTCGTTCATCTCTTAAAGGGCTGCTTTGTGTTCTGTTATTTCACCATTTACTATAATGTCACAGTTACTCTGTTATTTGACACTTGCTTGGTTTCTGATCTTCTAATACAGAGAATATTTAAGGCACCCCCATGTACCTGTAGCTTTGCGTTTTGAGGCTGGTGTAAATCTGAATGTCAGATTGCTGAGTCAGAGGAATGTTGATGAAAAAGTTCATAGAAACAGCCAGTGCCACCTCTGTGTGTTGGTCCCTGCCACCGGACATTGCAACATCTCTGCTTCCCCATATCTAACCCCCCTCCTCCCGCTGCCCAGAGTGATCAGATTGTCCCGCCTTTGCCATCTGGTTGAAGATAAATATCTCCTTAATTTTATCTGTACCTGCCTGTGGTAGAGCATCTTTTAATATCTGTGTTGGCCATTTGTAGTTCTTCTATAAATTCACTGTGTTTGTCCTTTTGCCATTTTTCCATTACACTGTTTCTGTTCTGATTTTAAGAGCCCGTTGCATATTAAGGAAACGAAGCCTTAAGTAGATGTAAAGCACTGATTTTTTGTTCGCTTGTCACTTTTTGTTTTTCTAGATGAGAGGCTCTATTTTCATGTACTCAAACATTGTCCCTTTAAGGGACAATGTCAATCTTAGGCTGTGTTCCTCACTCCAATATTACATTTTTTTAAGTGTATTTATTTTCTTCATACAACTCTGGTGTTTTTATTCAAGATCTTTGTTCCATGTAGCACTTTTTGTGTGTAAAGAATCAAGTGTAAAGATTCAGACTTACCCCCCCCCCCCC